AATAAGCTATCATCACAGCATTACATCACAGAGTAGATTTTATTGAAGTATTTCTTTGTAGACGTAATTATCAATGAAAGTGTCTTGCTTTCCTGTTGCAACACTCATGATATTTTCACTAAAGAAAAACAAATATTACTTTTTAAGTTTGTTTTTTGATTGTTTTGTATTTGAAACTTACTCATTTTTTTAAATTTTTAATGGTTAAATCTGAACCATATCAATTGTTTTATTTATTGCTCAGCTATAAAAATACTGCATAGTCATAAAAATATTACCCAGTTATGATTGGTGATGATCGGTGCGGTAGTTTCCGAGGTCCGAGTTTGATAAGTATACTGCACAATTAACACGGTTATTGGTCATTCAATAGCAAAAGCAGAAGTTATACTTCTAAAAGTCTTTGGTTCATATTTCTTTGTTTACTTGCGTCAGTTTTTAATGAAACAAAGTATATCCTATAAAAAAAAACTACCCTGCCCTGAATATTTGTGGCCGTAAGAGTTCGAACACAATAATTGACACTGTGTGTTCACTGAGTGGGAGGTAGACGTTTGTGTATAGTATTCAAAAAGGTGGAGAAATGATCTCTTTTGCTATCAGTGAATAACTTCTAATAATATTGTTCGATGTTATTTCTTTAGAAAAAAAAAAACATCGCCACTTTATGTGAAGGAAGGGAGTCACAAAAAGGCTTATGTTTTTTACACCCCTGCAAAAAACGAAATTTTTTTGCATGTTTTGTTGTTAAGAGCAAAGCTACACAATGGGAAATCTGTGCTGTGCTCACAACGAATATCGAAACCAAGTTTTTAGGGTTATACGCGAACATGCTTACTGCCGAGACACTGGAAGGGCGGGCAAACATTGTAAACAACCCCTTAGAATTTTTTTTAAACACTTCCTTTCCTGTAAGTACCCTGTCTTTTATATCTCATTTTCTTTCGCGCTGGTTGCCAATCTCGGAAAAAAAAATTTAAATAGAAATTTCTACAACTATTCTCACACTGCACTTTCTTATTAAAAATTAATTGTTTGTTTGCAATTAAGCACAAAGCTACACAAAGGGCTATCTGTGCTCTGCCTACCACAGGTAGGTTTCTAGCTTTGTAAGTTCGCAGACATACCGCTGTGCCACTGGGAGGCCAAAAATTAATGAACCAAAAACCAAGGCCAATATGAGTAAATGTAGGTTCTTATAAGAATAGTTTGAATTATACTTAACAATTTGTTTAACAATGAACTGAACATTTCTATTTATTTGATATGTATAGGACTTGAAATACACGTTAAACCCAGTATTCACTTTTGATGTGTATAGGAGTTGAAATACACGTTAAACTCAGTATTCACTTTTGATGTGTACAGGACTTGAAATACACGTTAAACCTAGTATTCACTTTTGATGTGTATAGGAGTTGAAATACACGTTAAACCTAGTATTCACTTTTGATGTGTATAGGAGTTGAAATACACGTTAAACCCAGTATTCACTTTTGATGTGTATAGGAGTTGAAATACACGTTAAACCCAGTATTCACTTTTGATGTGTATAGGAGTTGAAATACACGTTAAACCCA